CCTACACTAATAATGCTCTTTTTTGCCAGTCATCCTATAAACTGGTCATCTACCAAAACTGCCTACCTGTCTTCTAACCTTCACAGACGCCGTCTTGTTGAAGCATCTATTATAACAACTTTCCTAATATGACTTTAAGTCCTGGCTCTATCTCTGTAGATGTTTTCCTTTCTCATTAGATTGTCAAATGCTCCGAACTTCAGAACACTCATGACTTGACCTGATCTTTATTTCTCCCTCTCCTTACCTCTTCTCCATTCCTTTATTTTCTTTGCCTTTCCTTTCTTCTGTCTAGGTGAGTTATGTCCTATGTTTTTACCCCCTGTATTTTTGGTCCCACCCTCGAGGGCTATTAGCTCTCCTGCAGTGTTTCTTTTTCTTGTCCTTAGACTTCCTCCACTACTAATACGTGTTTTTCACCGCTGTTATTGCCTAGCTACACTCCATTCTCTGACTCTTGTGTCATTACCACTACTTCCCCGACCTACTGCTATCAAATCACCACTACTTCTACCACTGCCATCTCTACTTCCTTCATGTCATTATTACTTCTACTTCCTCTTTGTCTCCCGTTCCCGCCCCTCTTTCGTACATATACTGGCTCCCTTTTCTCCCCTCTTAATGGCCCAAGTCGAACTAAAAGTCGTCATAAGTCTCCCTCTCTTATTGTGCGGGTTTTGTATAAACGCTTTTTAGTTAAAAAAAAAATGTATTCAAAATTTATTTTATTTCATTCTATTTTATTCATATAAATAAAAATATTAATTTAAATTCAATAAACAAGCAGCATAATAACATATATGCTCGTTAAAATTTAGGCATTTAAGATTGACTTTTCTGGTCTCAGTAGCCGCATACGTTTGGCTTATCTGATCCAGATCCACATCTTTGGCGATTACACATTCAACTGATAAGGTAGTTAATTTATCCAACCCATCTTTTTTCATCTTGGAACGAAGATACGTTTACATTAATTCAGTATCTGAAGAGCTCCGTTCTGCGCGGCCACTGATGCTGCCAATGTTACAATTATTTTCAGCCCACGCAAAAAAAAAAAAAAAAAGATTAAAGCAATGATGTCAAATTGTTTGAACAAATAAAGTGCAAGATTTTCTTTGGATAAAATATCCACCTCCCTTTCCCCATTTCTATGTAGAATTCTTTCTTAAAACTTTTCATTGGGTTCTTGTTGATTAAGAGCGATATTTTTTTTTTTTTTTATGTTGCTTTCGATTTTTTGGCGTCCTTAAACCCGGGCGCTGTGAGCCAGTAGTGCTAGGCTGGTTCGCCCCTCACTCGTACACAACACATCAAGAGGTGCTTTTTCTTGACCTCTCGGTATCAGTATTTATTATCTTGTGAAAATCCACCGTCTGTCAAAACGCATTCAAGTACTAGATAACAAACGTAGACGATCACTACTACCTTCCTTCCAGTGTAATGATGACCCCTTCAGTGTGTGATGCTCACTGTAGTTGATGACCTTCACTGTGTAGTGATGTCCTTTAGTATGGTGCTGCGTAGTGATGACTCTTAGAATATGGTGCTCACTGTAGGTGATAACCTTCACTGTGTGGTGCTCACTGTGTAGTGATGACCCTCAGAATTGTAGTGCGCACTGCAGTTGCTGACCTTCACACTGTGGTACTGTATTGTGATGACCTTGAGTATGTGGCGCTGTGTTGTGATCATCCTGAGTGTGTGTGTGTGTGTGTTAAGTACTGTAGACAGGTATCATTACAGTACTTATCCGACACAACGAAACGAAATTCTGGTAGAGGATATCTCCTACAAATTATTTATTAAACTTTGGCCCAACTCTTGAGCATGATCTACACAAGTGGGTCCCGCCCACCTGTGACATGACTCAACCGCTGCACATCATCTGACTAGTATACAAGAGTTCCTGTCCATACTTAACATTCATCAAGACTAAGATACAGAACACCAGCTTCCTGGTCGAGGCACTGATTACCTCATCTTCCACTGTCTTCTGTGTTTAGTTCTACAAGACTAAAGGACTGATTACCTCGTCTTCTATTGTCTCAAATTTCAACATCAACTGATCAACTGATTGCACCAAACGTCTTCAAATAAAGATACCCAGGTCTTACATAAGTATTCAATTCCTCAAGCACCTTGGTAATTTTAAAATCACGATGAAAGCCGAAAGGCGTAAACTGTGGGTAAACTGTTCAAACGTATTCCTGTCAACTACACACCACAAGCTACACAGGGGGATGGGAGGGCGAGAGAGAGAGAGAGAGAGAGGAGAAGGAGAGAGAGAGAGAGGAGAGAGATGAGAGAGAGAGAGAGAGAGAGAAGAGAGAGAGAAGGAGAAGAGAGAGAGAGAGAGAGAGAAGTTCCTGATCCAGCAGGGACCCTCCTTGGTTAGCTGCAAGAACTGTGTCAAAACTGTCAGTGGTGACAATAGAGGAGGAGAGGCATTCCTTCTTAAATCACTTGACCAAGAAAAGGTTGTGGCCAGACAAGTTGAGCCCAAGATTGCTGAGATAATGTGCAGACCAGCTAGCAGCGCTAACTCACATCTTTCAGCACTGCCTAGTACAGTGTAAATGGCCCTCTCGGCCCCTCTCTGTGGAAAGAGGCAAATGTAGTCCTGTTCACAAAAAGAAGAGCAGAGCAGAAATCAGCAACTACAGACCAGTGTCACTCCTGTCAATCACTGGTAAGATCCTTGAGACAATAATCTCAAGACAAATGACAGTTTTTTGACTACCACTCACTACTTTGTGACCGTCAATATGGCTTCAGGAAAGGTTACTCTGCTGCTGATCTGTTGCTAAAACCTCTCCACTAAGTGGCACCAGTCACTGGATGAATCCAAGTCAGCTGTGTGGTAGCACTGGACATTGCTGGTGCTTTCGACCGGGTGTGGCACCAGGGCCTCTTAGCAAAACTTCAAGCACTGGGAATTGCAGGCTCTACGCTATGTCTCCTCAGTGATTACCTTCATGGTAGATCTCAAAGGGGTTTAGTTCTCAATGGAACAGAATCAGCAAGACATCCTATTGGGGCAAGTGTTCCACAAGGAAGCGTGCTGGGACCATTGTTATGGAATGTCTACTTCAATGACCTTCATCTCATCCCAGAATCCCATGCATATGCAGACGACTGTACAATGACATTCACTTATCCAAGAGAAGAAATGCCACCTGTTCTAAGCTACATCAATCACCAGCTAAGCGCTATATCAGCTTGGGGAAATAGATGGCAAGTAACATTTGCACCTGAGAAAACGCAAATGATGGTCTCTAGGCACCATGATGGTAATGCTGGTGCAGTAGTAAGGATGAATGGGAGGGTGTTAGCACCTGGAGAAGAAGTTGATATCCTTGGGGTGAAATTTGACTCCAAACTGACCATGAAGAACCATGTTGTAAATCTTGCAAACAAAGCAGCCAGGAAGCTTACAGCACTTCGCCGTATCTCGCATCTGCTTGACAGTAGGGGTTGCAAGATTCTGTACGAGGCACAAGTACGCTCACACCTTGAGTATGCTCCATTTTCTTGGTTTGCCTGCCCTCCTTCTCACCTGCGACTGCTTGACAGAGTAGAGAACAGAGCAAGACGTCTCATCTCTCGCCTGGACCAATCCTGGATAGATCTGTCATTTCAGCAGAGCCTTCAACACAGGAGGGATGTGGGTGGCCTTACTATTATGTACAAGGCCAATGTTGTCAAAGTACCACACTTGGATCCACTTCGAGGACAGCGTAAAACAAGCTTTTATGCCACAAGACGGGCAGAAAGCAGCAACTTCACTCTGGCTGTACCCTTCTCCAGAACATCACTCCATCTAAGATCATATATACCCAGGATGACTCGAGTATGGAACACATTCGTACAGCATAATGATGTCAACGAGATAAAGTCAGTTGATCAAATGAAAATGCTGGCCCACAGATGGCTCCAACTTCATCCTGTTCCCTAATTGTGTGTCTCATAACAATAAAAATGCTTTCAAATGAGCTGATGTAGGTAACAGCTCTTAGCTTGCCAATAAAGTTAGGAATCCTTAACCTCTAAATAGCTTGTCAATAAACCTAGGGATCCTTAACCTTGTCAAACCCTGTGTTAAAAGAGAGAGAGAGAGAGAGAGAGAGAGAGAGAGAGAGAGAGGGAGGGAGTACCTGCTAACAGGTGGCGATGGGTGAGATATCAGAGCTGTGTGACCCTTCCGGGTTTAGCGCTTAGTTTTGATTGTAATAATACTATGGATGAGATGCGTGTTTCCGATCCTTGATCAAGTGCTACAGAGATTCGTCTCAAATCGGCGATTCCTGTTGGAGGAGGAGGCTCGAACACCCACATCCAACCAAACCCTGTATAATTTTCTTTTCGTTTGTAGGGGTCGCCACCAGGCCCACTAAATCCAAGGTCATATCTGTGGATTTGACCTATGAAGTCAGTACGGTAAATGTCTGTTGTAGAGCAAGCTCGTTAGAGTAGCTTTTGCCTCGGCATTTGCTCGTTGATTTCCCTTGATACCAGCATGGCCCAAGCATCAAAATAACTCCATATCCTTGAGCCATGCGTGAAGACTAGCTAATTACTCTCAGACCCTTTGAACCACAGGATGGACATAAGCATACTGAACCAAGAGTACACTGGGAATCGGAATACAAAGTGAACTGAGATCCAGTTAACCCAGTTATTAGGACAAGAGCAGAGACCACTGTGTGAAACTCGGCAGTGAACACAGAAGACTCCCTTAGTAACTGTGCAGCCTTACAATGGGAATCACTGAAGAGTGCATACCTTACAATGGGACTCACAGAAGTTATTACTCTGAGAGTCACAGATGTCTTACAATGGGAGACAGAAACGAGTCTTACCTTACAGTCAATAACGATATTTTATCTTAAAATGGGAGCCACGATTCTCACCTTACACTGAATCAACGATTCTGTCTTACCTCACACTTGAGTTACAGGCAAAGTTTTGTCTTGCATGGAAACCCACGGAAGAGGTCTTACCTGGCCTTTGACTTCGCGTGTCTTGTTGTTGGTGAGTTTGAGTCTGTCGAAAGCAACGGCGGGGGAGGCCATCCACTGGACCCCAGTAGCAGGCGAGTCTGGATGTATGTAAGGTGTGTGTTGCCCCAGGGGCTCTCCCGTCCCTGCTACCATCCAGCGAGAACTGTTGGATAACACCAGTCTTATACACACCACTCCTCATTTCTCTCAGATTTGTTGTTACACTCAAATATACAAACAAGTCTTAGTTTTTAAAAAAAAGGCACAATACTGTGACTTGAACAACACAAAAATAACCTGCACATAGGAGAGAAAAACTTATGACGACGTTTCGGTCCGTCTTGGACCATTCACAAGTCAAGAAGGACTGAAATGTCGTCATAAGCTTTTCTCTCTCCAGTGTGTGGGTTATGTGTGTAAGCCTTAGGTAGACAATGGAAGGTAGTCTAGAAAGTGTAAATATTAGAAAACTTTTAATTATTCGTTATAAACATTTCCTTGGTATGTTTAAACGCCCTTCCTCTCGACCGAGGTTAGGTTCATCATGGGTAATAACACAGTAAGACAAACGCAGGATAGTTTTAGTCAATAATAATTTTGTGTAGACACAATAAGACAAAGGCAGGAGAGTCATAACTGGAGGTAACACTGACCTCGGGTAAACGTATCTATATCGGCGGGTGTCGACGGCCACCATATCGAGGTACACCATGTAGGTCTTCTCAGGGCGCAGCCCGCGAATCTTAACTTTGACTACAGGAAACATCCGTCTGCGGAAAGCAACCTCTGAGTCTGGTGCTGGTTTTGGTACTATTGCTGGTGGTAGTGAAGGTGATTGTAGTGCAGCGGTGGTCATGGTGGTGGTGCTACAAGGTGATGACAATGGTGGTAGTGAAGGTGACTGTAGTGCAGCGGTGGTCAAGGTGGTGGTGCTACTAGGTGATGACACTTGTGGTAGTGAAGGTGACTGTAGTGCAGCAGTGGTCATGGTGGTGGTGCTACTAGGTGATGGCACTGGTGGTAGTGAAGGTGACTGTAGTGCAGCGGTGGTCATGGTGGTGGTGCTACTAGGTGATGGCACTGGTGTAGTGAGGTGACTGTAGTGCAGCAGTGGTCATGGTGTGGTGCTACTAGGTGATGGCACTGGTGGTAGTGAAGGTGACTGTAGTGCAGCAGTGGTCATGGTGGTGGTGCTACTAGGTGATGGCACTGGTGGTAGTGAAGGTGACTGTAGTGCAGCAGTGGTCATGGTGGTGGTGCTACTAGGGTGAATGGCACTGGTGTAGTGAAGGGACTGTATGCAGCAGTGGTCATGGTGGTGGTGCTACTAGGTGATGACCTGGTGGTAGTGAAGGTGACTGTAGTGCAGTGGTAGTCATTGGTGGTGCTACTAGTGAATGACACTTGTGATAGTGAAGGTGACTGTAGTGCAGCAGTGGTCATGGTGGTGGTGCTACTAGTGATGGCACTGGTGGTAGTGAAGGTGACTGTAGTGCAGCAGTGGTCATGGTGGTGGTGCTACTAGGTGATGGCACTGGTGGTAGTGAAGGTGACTGTAGTGCAGCAGTGGTCATGGTGGTGGTGCTACTAGGTGATGGCACTGGTGGTAGTGAAGGTGACTGTAGTGCAGCAGTGGTCATGGTGGTGGTGCTACTAGGTGATGGCACTGGTGGTAGTGAAGGTGACTGTAGTGCAGCGGTGGTCATGGTGGTGGTGCTACTAGGTGATGGCACTGGTGGTAGTGAAGGTGACTGTAGTGCAGCAGTGGTCAGGGTTTGGTGGTGCTACTAGGTGATGACACTGGTGGTAGTGAAGGTGACTGTAGTGCAGTGGTAGTCATGGTGGTGGTGCTACTAGGTGATGACACTGGTGGTAGTGAAGGTGATTATAGTGCAGTGGTAGTCATGGTGGTGGTGATACTACTAAAAAGTGATGACAGTGATACCTATGTGAAGGCAGTACTGATTATGATGATAAACTGAATGATAATGACAATAGTAATTATGGTGGTAGTGTTAATGAATATGATATGATTGAACAAACATAGTTTATCAAGCAGTCACACAGACCTGACCCCAGTACCTGATGCTGACAATTGTCTTCATTAGTAATAAAAAACATTTAATGAATAAATTTTAAGTTTTATATTAAAACTAACCGGACAGTCTATGTTACCCCTGCTAAAGTTTATATAATATATATCTTAATTTACCTAACTTTTCCAAAAGTTTTACACTTTTAGTTGACTGTTTGTTGTTGGGATAAGAAGGGCGAGGAAGCAGGAAGGAAATACTCAGGAGGCTCAAAACCTTAATTAAGGAATTAACAGATGATAAGACTGTCATTATGGCTGACCTGCCATTCTTGGTGATGATCATCTCAGTGGAGAGGTTGTGGAACTTGGTCCAGAGGTCATACTGTAGTAGCTGCATACTAACACCACCACCACACCCGTCATCCACACCTTCACCGTCCCTCCAGCCCAAGCTCATCCGACACGACCCACTCAACATCTGTACATATACAATATTTTAAACTATTATGACAGGGCCCATAAGGTGAGAAATAATGTGACTAGTTGACGTGGGGGGGGGGGAAGTCAGAAGCCAAAACCTGCCCTTCTCTTCCCCCGCAACCATAAAAAGGCGAGTAAATCGTACAGAAAAAATACCACATTTTTTTTTAAATAAAATTGGCCATTTGGCACATACTTTCTCCAATGACATTTTCGTCTATTGCAGAACTAAAGTGCTTAAAATTTTCAAAATCCAGGGAAAATACTACTACTAATCGCAGGCTGATAATACCAGGAGAGAGATATTTCCATCCCGCCTGTTCTACACACAGCTGACAGCAGGGTAGCAGTACTCACCCCAGAAAGCTATTAAAGAAATCACCAGGACTCTATTATTATTATTAAAGATTCGCCGGTATTCTCCCGGCCCGGGCCTTTTCCAAGTGGTGGCCCGGCCTTGGCTCCCTGTCTAGGGAGTGTCTGAGACCTAAGTCTCCCATGGGAGGAGGCATAAGTATCCCCTCATCTTTGGGACCAACTGTCCCCAGGCCTAGCCACATTCAACAGGACTCTAAACCTTACTGAGAGCAGTCACAGCAGAGGTACATAGTAGCAACGTAGCCTATATTAGCATGTTAGGGATGCGATCGAGTGTACATAGGACAAATGACAACTACAAAAAAAACAAAACTGTACGCCACTACGATACACGACACATGGAATGTTTGGTACACAAAAACACTCTTGCATCTCATGAACTTCAAATAAGTACATCTTTTTTATTATGAAAGAAGGGAAAGAGAAATTGGAATTTGCATACTTCCTTTCAGGTTATCAGGCAGGACAGCTGAAGAAAAGAAGTAATTTTTTTTAATTGGCACCTACACAGTCAAATAACAATCCAAATCTTTCTCTAAGTCAGATACATCAGCGTTGAAGATTTGAAGCCGATTCAATGAGGCATTTACAAATTATCAATCGAAAACTATTATTTTCTTTATGATATCTTTAATAAAATATCAAATTGACATCTACCCTGCCTAAAATCATTCCAAAAAAAAAGTTTTTCTAAATTACACCAGGATCTAGGGTTTGAAGCCGCAATCAAAATCAACGCGTAAATCTCACTATCACTAAGTTTGAAGGCGATTAAAAAAGACATTTTCCAGTCATTACACAGAATCCAACGATTTCAAAATTATTATGTTAAGAAAAAGGTAAATTTGGACCTACAAAGCCTAGACTTAGTGGATATCATCCTGTCCATTAAAGACCGAACACTTCAGAAGAAGCCTACTAAAGAGGCGTATTAGGCCCTGGTCCACCGCGAGACCTGGTCACAGACCGGGCAGCGGGGGCCTTCACCCTCGAAACCTTCTCCAGGTGAAGCTATTGCGTGGAAAGTATACCACACCACTTAAAAAATTAAACTGCAAATTGACACCTCCATGCCGTCATAACAATCAAAATCTTCCAAGCAGAATAAACAGTGATGAAAGTTTGCAGCCGCTCAGCTTTCTCAAATTATCGCCTAGAAGCTAAATCCAGGAATGGCTATGTAAAGTAGACTGGAGGGCACTTCCACATACCAATAGTTGGAAAAATCTTTGCCTAGTTATAGTTCACCACTGTATAACTTCTCAAGTTATACAAGAAAACTTTTAGAGGAAAACATACTTTACGCAACCACTTAAATACAATTTTTCATTGGTACATAATCATTTAGCGATAATGAATGAATGATCAATATTTATAATTTTTTTATATTTCATTAAGAAATTTCTTAATGAAGTTATGTAAAATCATTTTAATGAGAAATGTCGACAGTATTATTTTATTAAAAACGTTCTCAAAACCATTAAAAAAATAGGGAGAGAGAGAGAGAGATGCAGTTCCTTTGGAATATCTAATTAGTTGTTATTGGGGCTATCAGATTATCACTACTGTTATTATTACTCAAAAGCGGTAAGCCCTCTGGTTATCAGAAATATTTTTTGTGAAACATTAAGACAAATGCATCATAACAGGAACTTAGAGACAATCCAGACACACCAGGAAAGGAAGCAATACTTTACTGGTAATAGAGTTACTACTAACTTGCCACTCAGGAAGAGGGTCAGGGGAAGAGTGTTCCGTAAAGTGTTGAGCTGGTTGTTCCACTGGAGCTCCTCTACGTGTGTTGGCACACACAGTGATGCCAGAAGTATCAGAGAGCGAGGGTAAGCTTACATCAACCGTATCTTCCCCAGTACTGTTGCTTACTGGTGGAGCTGACCAAATGAAATACCCAATTATATTATTAATATATATTTATTATTATTATTATATTATTATTATATATTATTATTAATATATAATATATATATATATATATATATATATATATATATTATATATATATATATATATATATATATACATATAATAATATAATAAAGAAAACAAACATAATTTGGCGAATTTCCACTGAGTACACAATGTTCTAATAGTTACTAGGATAATAATGAGCCGGATACTTACTGTTGCAGTTCTCTACGTCGACCACTAGTTCGTCGTCATCAGTGTCTTTACTCAAGTCAGCCACTTCTGAGTTTTCAGATTGTAGCTGTTGACATCTCTCTGCATCCTGATGAAAAAGATTTTCTTCCCTCGTGTGAGCTTCTAGGGATATGTGATATGGTGTTAGCCTTTCTGTATCGACCTCCTTTTCATTATCCTGCTTTATATACGAGTTTATATGTTCACAGTCATCTTTGGTCTCAACCATTGTACAAGAGTTATGCGTAGTGTGACCTTGATTAGTTGTGTCGGGGTTGGATTGGTGCTGGTGGTGTTGCTGCTGCTGCTGCTGGTGTTGTTCCTGCTGTTGCTGGTGTTGTTGTTCCTGGTGTTGTTTCTGCTGCTGGTGGTGTTGTTGTTGCTGCTGCTGCTGCTGGTGTTGTTTCTGCTGGTGGTGGTGTTGTTGTTGTTGCTGCTGCTGGGTCATGTCAGTCTTCTCCTGGGCAGCCGTGAGCAGCGCCTTCACGCTGAAGGCCGCCGCTCGGGAACTTAGCATTCGCTTCTGTTGGAGTTAAGTAAAACTAATCCATATTTCTTTAAGCGTAGAGATAATTTAAACTATTGTGTTAGACAGGATGTAAGATTAGAAACATCGGACACAGAATCTGTTTGGCTACAGTTTCTCGAAGGTCGTGAAAAATTAATTTTGGGTATGATTTATAGGCCCCCAAACCTTGATAGGGAGTGCGGTAGGCTGCTATGGGACGAATTCATAAGGCATCTAGATATGAAAATGTATTAATGGGAGATTTTAACTTTAAACAAATTGATTGGAACAATGTGACAGGAAATCTCGAGTCTAGTGACTTTCTTGATACGGTTCAAGACTGCTTTTTAAAACAGTTTCTGACAGAACCAACTAGAGGAAACAATCTGCTTGACTTGGTTCTTGCCAATAAAGAATTACTAGTTGATAATCTTGAGGTTAGTGATGAGCTAGGGGAAAGTGATCACAAATCACTTAGTTTCAATATATCATGGAATTACCCAAATAGCTGCAATCAAGTCGCTTGGCCAACTTCATGGGTATGAGAAATTACCTGGATGGGCTAAATTGGGACTACCTTACTATGTTTCAGGTAGGTAGAGTTGGTTGTCAATATGACGTATTTCAGAGCATATTGCTGGCTACCCAGACGACTTTTATCCCGACTAGGGATATTAGATCGAACAAAAATGATCCCAAATGGATAAACAACAGATTAAAACATCTCATTCGTCAAAAGAGAGGTATATATAGACGTGTCAAAGGAGGGGAGGCGCAGTGAAGAAATGCATATATTCAATTAAAGAGAGAGATAAAAAAAAATGAGAAATGAAAAAAGGGATTATGAGGCTAAAGTCGCAAGGGATTCGAAAACTAACCCAAAAGGGTTCTTTCAGGGTATACAGAAGTAAGATTAGGGACAAGATAGGCCCACTTAAGAGTAACTCAGGTCAGATCACTGACAGTGATAAGGAAATGTGTGAACTTTTCAACACTTACTTCCTTTCAGTTTTTACTCAGGAAGATACTAGCGAAATTCCAGAAATAATAAATTATGTAGAACAGGATGATAATAAATTATGCACGATTAGGGTAACTAGTGACATGGTCCTCAGACAAATAGAGAAATTAAAACCTAACAAATCCCCAGGCCCTGATGAACTGTTTGCAAGGGTGTTAAAGGAATGTAAAGAGGAACTTAGCATACCTTTGGCTAATCTTTTCATTATATCCTACAAACCGGCATAGTGCCAGACAAGTGGAAAATGGCAAATGTAATACCTATTTACAAGGCAGGTGACAGGTCCTTAGCTTCGAACTATAGACCAATAAGCCTTACTTCCATAGTTGGTAAATATATGGAATCAATAATTGCTGAAGCAATTCGTAGCCATCTTGAAAGGCATAAATTGATTAATGAATCTCAGCACGGTTTTACAAAGGGGCGTTCCTGTCTTACGAATTTACTAACTTTCTTCACTAAGGTGTTTGAGGAGGTAGATCATGGTAATGAGTTATGATATTGTGTATATGGACTTCAGTAAGGCTTTCGATCGAGTTCCACATCAGAGACTATTGAGGAAACTTAAGACACACGGAATAGGAGGAGAATTTTTTTCCTGGGTAGAGGCATCGTTGACAAATAGGAGCAGAGAGTTTGCATAAATGGGAAGAAATCAGAATGGGGGTACGTTACAAGCGGTTCCACAGGGGTCAGTGTTGGGTCCCTTGTTCACAATCTACATAAACGACATAGATGAGGGAATAAATAGCGACATAAGCAAATTTGCTGATGACACCGAAATAGGCCGTTCAATTCATTCTAATGAGGACATTAGAGCACTCCAGGATGATTTGAATAGACTGATGCAATGGTCGGACAAATGGCAGATGCAGTTTAATATAGACAAATGCAAAGTTCTAAATGTTGGGCAGCAGTAATCTGAAACCAAGACAACAGTACATAAATGTTCGCAATAAAGCTAACAGAATCCTTGGCTTCATAGCAAGAAGTATAAATAATAGAAGTCCTCAGGTTGTTCTTCAACTCTATATATCTTTGGTTATGCCTCATTTAGATTATGCTGCACAGTTTTGGTCACTGTATTGCAGAATGGATATAAATGCACTGGAAAATGTACAAAGGAGGATGACAAAATTGATCCCATGTATCAGAAATCTTCCCTATGAGGATAAACTGAGGGCCCTTAATCTTCACTCTCTAGAAAGGCGTAGAATTAGGGGGGATATGATTGAGGTGTATAAATGGAAAACAGGAATCAATAAAGGGGATGTAAATAGCGTGCTAAAAATATCTAATATAGACGGACTCGTAGCAATGGTTTTAAATTGGAAAAATTCAGATTCAGGAAGGATATAGGAAAGCACTGGTTTGGTAATAGAGTTATGGATGAGTGGAACAAACTCCCGAGTACCGTCATAGAAGCTAAGACGTTGTGTAGTTTTCAAAATAGGTTGGATAAATACATGAGTGGGTGTGGGTGGGTGTGAGTTGGACCTGACTAGCTCGTGCTACTAGGTCAGATGCTGTTCTCCTTTAAGTGACGTATCTGATCTCACTAGGTCAGTGAGGTCAGATGGTCAGTGATCTTAAGGTCACTAGGTCAGTGAGCTTAGGCCGTTAGGAGAATTGGACCTGCCTCGCATAGGCCAGTAGGCCTGTTGCAGTGTTCTTTCTCTCTTATGTTCTTATTAAATTTGATTCTGAAATTTAACTTTTAAAAATATATATTGATATATGAGTATTATTTGACCAAATCATCTCAACAATATCTTTGTGACTCGCACGAATTTAGCGCATTTTTGGGAAGATTATAATAAATTTTTCTGTGCTTTGAATTCTACCTTCCATAACAAAACACCGTCTTCTACAAAATATCTAAGTCGTACATTCTCCTCTTTCCTGTAACATTCAAAGACCATCTTTACAAAAATTTTATATACCAGGTCGGTGCTGGAAGTTTAAAATAGGAGAGGCTTAGGGGCTAGGGGACTTGTATTGAAGTTATTATTGTAAATATTTTGGCTTTGAGGGGATGATGATGTTTTTGTAGGCTTCAGCTGAGTCTGGGCACCACCGTACTGTACACTGTTTGTTGTAAAATGTAATATTAACACCAGTCTCATATGACTTTACGGATCTAAAAGAGAGACATCACATGAACCGGGACAAAACAGAGCTGATTTTTCAAAGAATCCAACACTGAAAGGCGCCACTGTATGAAGGCATCTTTAACTGCTACTACTAACACCACAGAACAAAGATCTGGAAAATACACCATCTCAGCTACACATGCACCTTTGATACTATAACTCTACTGTAATGTATCCACCAAAGATGTTTTGAGTGTACGCAATTGTATTCTTTCATCCATATTATATCAATAAACCTTCAGCTTTCTATGAACATCATTCAGTGAAGAAAATAAAGACTCTGGTAGCAGAGAATACTATAAACACGTTTCACACAAGACTGGTTGAACAACTGTGATTTAGTGAGGGCTCTGTGGGAACGCTTGTCTTCCATCCTCGTATAAGACACATCTATAACATTATTAAATGTGATTAATAAATTGTACGAAACGCACGTAATTTCTTTCACTGTTTACTGTTTTTTTTGTAGTGTGTATTGAAACGATGTGCTAGTTCTTTCATTATTTCAGACATACTTTTCAACATTTTTTTTTTAACTTCGACTTAGGATGATCCACTTTTTCGGGTCACCTTCCTCTGTGGAAGACGGCCGGTGTGTTAAAAATGAGAAATATTAAATACTAAAAAAAAGGGGGCACAAAACACATTTTTGTTTTCGCTAGTGCTATCATAATAAATGGTCTTGTCGTTATGTAAAACTTTGCATTCCTTACTGCTATGTACGCTAGTCTCTATATAATTATATGAAGACCGAGTACGGAGTATCAACACTACTGCTTGTGCTAAATGACCCACACCATTTGAACACCGTATTAAATACAAAGGTCTGATTCCTGCCATTTATTACTAATGCAAGTTATTATAAACTCTATGGATACATCTACCCAAGATTAAATATATATAGCTTGTTATATAATTCGTAATATATTGTATATTTTCCTATATGATGAATGAGTTATAATGTGAGCAGTCAGAGTATCTGGACCACCTGGCTTCACTACTGGTCTGATGTTAACACGAAACTCGACTCATGCTTTCTCTAAGCATGTAATTATGACCATGTGGTGATGGCTTGGCCAGTGGATAAAGTAGCCTTCACAAGGAGGTACTGATTCTTGGGTAAGAGGTAAGCCCACACATCTATAATTTAAACTGGACGATGTTTGAGTCCATCCGGACCACTGTAAAGTCACGATTAAGAAAAAATGAGGCCATAAGTCGGGTAAAGACAAAACATGAGGAGTCATCCAAAATTAGATAAAATCATCCGAGAGAACTAGAAGAGGCAAGCATCAACACTGTGCATTGGAGGAGGCAAGTATCAACACAGTGTACTGGATGAAGTAAGTATCAACACGGTGTATTGGAGGAAGCAAGCATCAACATGGTGTACTGGAGGAGGCAAGTATTGTATTTGTTAGCTGTATGTTGGGGACGCCATACGTTAGTGTCGCCAAGCTGTCAACAGTGGTATTTGTGTAGTACACTTATGTAGACAGAAATTCCAGCTACATTATAGTAAGGGTTCCTTGCTATCATGACGTCACGAGACTCCCCATGTGAGCCGTAGGCTACAGAGCCTTCTCTAGCTTCCCGGTGGATAGGCAGGCCTGGGTCCTCTTCAAGAATTCATAAGAGAACGCCTCTATGACAGATTATGGTGTTTATTTTAACCAACGGTGTACTAGAGGTAAACATCAATATAGTGTGCTGGAGGAGGTAAGCATCAACAGTGTGCTGATGGAGGCAGGCATCAACACAGCGTACTGGAGGAGGTATCAACACAGTGTACTGGAGGAGATGAGCGTCAACACAGCGCACTGAAGGAGGTAAGCATCAGCTCAGCGCACCGAGGAAGGAAGCATCAACACAACGTACTGTAGGAGGTAAGTATCAACACGATATACTGGAGGAGATAAGCATCAACACGGTGTACTGGAGGAGGTAAACATCAACACGGTGTACTGGAAGAGGTAAGCATCAACACGGTGTACTGGAAGAGGCGAGGGTGAGGGAACTGGTAAGCAAGAAAGGTGGGAAACTCTACCTAAGATTTCATTTTCCTTATCAGTTTGTAGTTTTTTACGAGTCTGTTCCGTATATTAACTAACTTTTTCTTCGTAGTGTCATAATTTTCCCTTGGATGCACTATCAAATTCATTTTATTCATATGAAAATAAATGGAATGAATATTGTTTCCTATTTTACAAGGGACAAATGCAGCATATTCTCAAATAAAAAAAAATAATCGCTTCTAGCCTGTATAATTCAATGCGCACTAGAATGTAGCCAGGCAGCAGCAAGTGGCGGGATAGTCAAAACATGGTGATCCCGCAACACTTCCTACTTCATAACCGTCCACTCTAACCAGAGATATCGTGATGTGTGTGACATTATCCAGATGAAAGACGCTTAACTCACCTTTTTATAAGCACTGTGCTGGATGAAGTATGTGGGAAGAGAAGAAATATATTGGTGTCGGAAGTCCTGCTCACACGCTACCAGACTTAACACTAAGTCTGCTAATCACCTAACAGCTGCCATGAGGAGGCAGCTCACCTGATAAGGCTTGTCACCACCCTCCAACCCTTTATTGTCTTATCTTGCCAGACTTCTTCACTGCCTCGTGATGGGAGCTTTTAGTGGACAGCTGCTGTTGCTGCTACTGCTTATCTCCCAGCATCTGGATTGTTGTTTATTGTTATGGACCTTGATGTTATGGAGAGTTTGTAGTATGTACATTTGAGAAAGTTTACGCTTGTGAGGTAGTTACAAATTTATTCCTTTGCATAATATGCAATGTGAGATTTACATGTTATAAGATATTATTAGTACAAAGAAAGTCACTAGCATGCCTGAGCACTTCGGGCAGACTAATACTAATGCTCACAGATAACTTAAGACTAGTTGCATTATCATCGTCGTTCTTAACGAAAATTTAACGTATATGGTGCATTTATTCTTATTGTCAAGTAACAAAAAAATGCTTGCAACAAATCAATTTATTTTCTGTCAGTAGCAAAATACCCAAAATAAAAAAAAATATATGCAAAGTACTAAATATATTAAAATATTAGATATTAATATACATATTAGATAAAAGAAAGGTGTACTTGTTATTCACAGTCACCGTCCGTAGATGACTGAGACACTCGGCCAACACTTGGCTACCGTCCGTAGATGACTGAGACACTCGGCCAACACTGCTACGTCTGTGACTGAGACATCGTCCACACTTGCTACGTCGAGATGACACTCGGCCAACACTTGCCTACCGTCCGTAGATGACTGAGACACTCGGCCAACACTTGCCTACCGTCCGTAGATGACTGAGACACTCGGCCAACACTTGGCTACCGTCCGTAGATGACTGAGACACTCGGCCAACACTTGGCTACCGTCCGTAGATGACTGAGACACTCGGCCAACACTTGCCTACCGTCCGTAGATGACTGAGATACTCGCCAACACTTGGCTACCGTCCGTAGATGACTGAGACACTCGGCCAACACTTGCTACCGTCCGTAGATGACTGAGACGCTCGGCCAACACTTGCTACCGTCCATAGATGACTGAGATACTCGGCCAACACTTGGCTACCGTCCGTAGATGACTGAGACACTCGGCCAACACTTAGCTACCGTCCGTAGATGACTGAGACTGAGACACTCGGCCAACACTTGGCTACCGTCCATAGATGACTGAGACACTCGGCCAACACTTGGCTACCGTCCGTAGATGACTGAGACACTCGGCCAACACTTGCCTACCGTCCGTAGATGACTGAGATACTCGGCCAACACTTGGCTACCGTCCTAGATGACTGAGACACTCGGCCAACACTTGGCTACCGTCCGTAGATGACTGAGACACTCGGCCAACACTTGCCTACCGTCCGTAGATGACTGAGATACTCGGCCAACACTTGGCTACCGTCCGTAGATGACTGAGACACTCGGCCAACACTTGGCTACCGTCCGTAGATGACTGAGACACTCGGCCAACACTTGGCTACCGTCCGTAGATGACTGAGATACTCGGCCAACACTTGGCTACCGTTCCGTAGATGACTGAGACCTCGGCCAACACTTGGCTACTGTCCATAGATGACTGAACACTCGGCCAACACTTGGCTACCGTCCGTAGATGACTGAGACACTCGGCCAACACTTGGCTACCTTCCGTAGATGCTGAGACGCTCGGCCAACACTTGGCTACCGTCCGTAGATGACTGAGACACTCGGCCAACACTTGGCTACCGTCCGTAGATGACTGAGACACTCGGCCAACACTTGGCTACCGTCCGTAGATGACTGAGACACTCGGCCAACACTTGCTACCGTCCGTAGATGACTGAGACACTCGGCCAACACTTGGCTACCTCCGTAGATGGCTGAGACACTCGGCCAACACTTGGCTACCGTCCGTAGATGACTGAGACACTCGGCCAACACTTAGCTACCGTCCGTAGATGACTGAGACACTCGGCCAACACTTGGCTACCGTCCGTAGATGACTGAGACACTCGGCCAACACTTGGCTACCGTCCATAGATGACTGAGACACTCGGCCAACACTTGGCTACCGTCTAGATGACTGAGACATCGGCCAACACTTGGCTACCGTCCGTAGATGACTGAGACACTCGGCCAACACTTGACTACCGTCCGTAGATGACTGAGACACTCGGCCAACACTTGCCTACCGTCCGTAGATGACTGAGATACTCGGCCAACACTTGGCTACCGTCCATAGATGACTGAGACACTCGGCCAACACTTGGCTACCGTCCGTAGATGACTGAGACACTCGGCCAACACTTGCCTACCGTCCGTAGATGACTGAGATACTCGGCCAACACTTGGCTACCGTCCGTAGATGACTGAGACACTCGGCCAACACTTGGCTACCGTCCGTAGATGACTGAGACACTCGGCCAACACTTGCCTACCGTCCGTAGATGACTGAGATACTCGGCCAACACTTGGCTACCGTCCGTAGATGACTGAGACACTCGGCCAACACTTGGCTACCGTCCATAGATGACTGAAACACTCGGCCAACACTTGGCTACCGTCCGTAGATGACTGAGACACTCGGCCAACACTTGGCTACCTTCCGTAGATGACTGAGACGCTCGGCCAACACTTGGCTACCGTCCGTAGATGACTGAGACACTCGGCCAACACTTGGCTACCGTCCGTAGATGACTGAGACACTCGGCCAACACTTGGCTACCGTCCGTAGATGACTGAGACACTCGGCCAACACTTGGCTACCGTCCGTAGATGACTGAGACACTCGGCCAACACTTGGCTACCTTCCGTAGATGCTGAGACCTCGGCCAACACTTGGCTACCGTCCGTAGATGACTGAGACACTCGGCCAACACTTGGCTACCGTCCGTAGATGACTGAGACACTCGGCCAACACTTGGCTACCGTCCGTAATGACTGAGACCTCGGCCAACACTTGGCTACCGTCCATAGATGACTGAGAACACTCGGCCAACACTTGGCTACCGTCCGTAGATGACTGAGACACTCGGCCAACACTTGGCTACCTTCCGTAGATGACTGAGACGCTCGGCCAACACTTGGCTACCGTCCGTAGATGACTGAGACACTCGGCCAACACTTGGCTACCGTCCGTAGATGACTGAGACACTCGGCCAACACTTGGCTACCTTCCGTAGATGGCTGAGACGCTTGGCCAACACTTGGCTACCGTCCGTAGATGACTGAGACACTCGGCCAACACTTGGCTACCGTCCGTAGATGACTGAGACACTCGGCCAACACTTGGCTACCGTCCGTAGATGACTGAGACACTCGGCCAACACTTGGCTACCTTCCGATAGATGGCTGAGACGCTCGGCCAACACTTGGCTATCTCGAGATGATGAGAAATTCGGCAACACTTGGCTACTGTCTAGATGACGAGACATGCAACACTGGCTAGTCCGTAAGATGATAGGACACCGGCACACTATGGCTACCGTCGTAGAGATGAGACACTCGGCCAACAGCTACGTCCGTAGATACTAGGAACTCCCAAACTTAGTTACCGTCCGTAATGACTGACAACTGGCTACCTTGGCTACCTGTATATAGAACGGCAACTTTACCTCGAGATGACTGAACACTCGCAACACTTGCTAGTCCCTAGATGATGAACAACGTCCAACAGTGGCTACGTCATCATCTGCGACTTCGGTTTCCAACAATGCAATTCACAGTGAAATTTGGCAACAGTTATCATGCATGGAAAATTAAGTTATAAGTACAGGTAGACATAAATACAGTTACATAAGATTATCGTACTGCAAAGTATGGTTAAGAAACCAAGAAGTTCGACAAGTGGACTTATTTTCACGGGTCTTGGACATGTAAGACGAATTTATCAAGAGGATGGTGACACTATTTAGCTAGAGTTGATTATATCAGTCAAGTGTTCGTCATTTCGCTTGAAGCATCATTATAATTCATCGTTGCAAGTATTGTGACATCTATGACTAAGGATGGAGTGCGGACGTAAACAGCTTACCTAATCATCTAACCGTCTCTGGGAAGAAAACGAGTTCAGTGGCAATTTTTCCGATTTCATGTCAACCACAAATAATAGGTGATTGTATTGAGCTGCTGTATTCTGACATGCATGTGACTCAGGATGCGGTGAGAGCATGTGATTCTCATGTGCGGATGACAAGCATGTTAGCTTGCGGCTGGAATGTATGCAGTTTTGGCGTGGTATAACAAAACTATTCATCCAAAGTTTTATGTGAGACACGGGAATGCTCTGACACCTTGAAATATAGGTAAATTGGGTAATACTACATGCGTATCTGTCATGTAAGGCTGACAACAATACTAGCAGTGCTGTATTTGTATGCGGACTGACAACAATACAGTAGTATTCGTCAGCAGGACTGACAAAACTGCGTTTCTGTATTCTGTCATGCAGGACTGACAACAATGCTAGATGCGTATTTGCCATAGGACTGACAACATATAGCATGTGCTGTATTCTGTCATACACGGGACTGTGATCACAATATTAAGTGCGGTATTATCATACGTGGGAATGTGACCACAATACTAGCAGTGCTTTAATGTTATGCACAATACAGATTTCGACAATTGTAAACTGGTGTTCAGATTTGTTTATATGAAGAAACGTATTATTGACTGAAGCCTAATTGCAATACTACTACACTTTAGTGACGAATGTAATGGAAAATTTAATTTTAACAATATACTTCACGCCCAAGTCAATAATAATCATTATAAATGGTTAACAACGAAGTCGTAAGAAGTCAGACTCATCAGGGCCAAATTAATCAAAGTCGGTTGTTACTCATTCAAGGTCAGTTCAGTGGAGGTCAAGTTATACCTCTTTGCGTGGTTGTCTCATTATATTCATTATAACTGAAGAGGCCTTAATATTGTAATAAAACTTATACAAATAATCGTTTTTTTCCCTGCAGTTTTAAATTACGTTCGTTTACATGGCTCATGTTCTCAGCGACAAATGTAAAATCAGAAGTTAGTTCACATTATTCAGCTTTAGGAA